TGACCGGAGAGGTGAGGAGGATTCTGGGAGTCTAACATGATATTTCTATTGGTTCCTCAATACAGAGATTTCCTCTTCTGAAGTCAGGTGATCATATGACCATCACAGTGCCTCCATGTGACTCCCTAAACCCTGAGAGACACAACATGCAGAAGATTCTAGAAGTCACCAAGAAGATGATGGAGCTGCTGACAGGAGAGGTGAGCGGTGCCGGGAATTCTGGGACATTCTCCAGTAACAGACAAGGGATGTGTCTGGATGGTGACTGTATCATTGTGTGTGTCAGGTTCCTATAAGGTGTCAGGGTGTCACTGTCTATTTCTCCATGGAGGAGTGGGAGTATTTAGAAGGACACAAGGATCTCTACAAGGACGTCATGATGGACAATCAGCCGCCCCTCACATCACCGGGTAAGAGGAGACTTTATTGTAAAGGAGAGAGCAGTACGGAGGATCCACCTAGATCCCCCATCATCTGATAAACACATAGAAACAATGGATTCAGTCAGTGTGTGTGTTTCCTACAGATGGATCCAGTCATGGGAACCCACCAGAGAGATGTCCCCCGTCCTCTGTATTCCCGGGATTCCACACAGGAAGGTCACACCATCCCTCACCATCATCAGGTAGATGAGGAACAATCACTGATAGTATCATTAGGATCTGTACATTATCTGCATTGTTACCATTGATGTCATTTTTATTATATATTCAGAGTGGAAACCTGAGAGATCCTAAAGTTGAAGTTAAAGAAGAGATAAAAGAGGAGGAGGAGGAGGATGGGGGGATGGAGGAGTCAGAGCTTCTAAAAGAACACAAAGATCTGTACCAGGACACCATGGTGGAGTCATCCAGCTACAGGAACCCACCAGAGAGATGTCCCCATCCTCTGTATTCCCGGGATTCCACACAGGAAGGTCACACCAACCCTCTCCATTACAAGGTTGGTTGGATGGAGTATCTAGAACACTGGACTTGTGGAGAAGTTGTGTGGAGTTTTTTTTATGCGACTTTATAGTTTCAGACATTTTCTCTCATTTCCTTGATTTAGAGTGGAGATCCAATCGATATAGAATTTGAGGTGAAAGCAGAAGAAGAAGAGGCGTATGTGAGGATGATCAGCAGTCTATGGAGGAGGATGGAATAACGGGGACATTTATAGAGGAGGACACTCCTACAGAGATCAGCACAGGTGGGTCATGAACACTAAATCCATTCCTCCACCCATACTGCTCACTGATTGGTCCAGAGTAGAGTCAACATTTTGGCAATATCAGTCTGTACGACACAATTTATATATATCTAGACTGATTTTTTGGAGATTCTTTGGGGGTTCAGCTGGCAGCAAAATGTTGATTTTCACCATTAGCGTTAACCTAGCCACCTGGGACATGTACTTTGGGTCTTTGGCCCCATATATCTGGTTCTAGTAAGATCTCTGACAGAGCAATTCTCCCAGGGTTCCTTGCTCTGTGGTCTGCTGGGCTGTGCCGGGTGGAGGGATATGTCTGTAGTGTCTCAGACCCAAGTCACTGAGTGCAGTCTCAGGAGATGGGAGGCAGCGGTGTGGGACCTACATAGTTACATAGTTAGTCTGGCTGAAAAAAGACATCCATCTAGTTGAACCATTAAAAATAAAAGTGATAATCCTAAACCCACAGCTGATCCACAGAAGACAAAAACCCAGCAAAGCACGATCCGATCTCCTCCTGCAGGGGAAAACATTCCTTCCTGACCCCCCGAGAGGCAATCGGATATTCCATGGATCAACTTTCCCTATAAATGTTATATCCAGTTATATTCTGTGTATCCAAGAAAGAATCCAGGACTTTCCTACAGCAATCCCCCCTTATGTATTATACATGGAGATCATATCCCCCTTGTGTATTATACATGGAGATCATATCCCCCCCTTATGTATTATACATGGAGATCATATCCCCCCCTTATGTATTATACATGGAGATCATATCCCCCCTTATGTATTATACATGGAGATCATATCCCCCCTTATGTATTATATACATGGAGATCATATCCCCCTTATGTATTATACATGGAGATCATATCCCCCTTATGTATTATACATGGAGATCATATCCCCCTTATGTATTATACATGGCGATCATATCCCCCCTTATGTATTATACATGGGGATCATATCCCCCCTTATGTATTATACATGGAGATCATATCCCCCCTTATGTATTATACATGAAGATCATATCCCCCCTTATGTATTATACATGGTGATCATATCCCCCCTTATTTATTATACATGGGGATCATAACCCCCCTTATGTATTATACATGAGATCATATCCCCCCCTTATGTATTATACATGGAGATCATATCCCCCCTTATGTATTATACATGGAGATCATATCCCCCCTTATGTATTATACATGGAGATCATATCCCCCTTATGTATTATACATGGAGATCATATCCCCCCTTATGTATTATACATGGAGATCATATCCCCCCTTATGTATTATACATGGAGATCATATCCCCCCTTATGTATTATACATGGAGATCATATCCCCCCCTTATGTATTATACATGGAGATCATATCCCCCCTTATGTATTATACATGGAGACCATATCCCCCTTATGTATTATACATGGTGATCATATCCCCCTTATGTATTATACATGGAGATCATATCCCCCCTTATGTATTATACATAGAGATCATATCCCCCCTTATGTATTATACATGGTGATCATCCCCCCTTATGTATTATACATGGAGATCATATCCCCCCTTATGTATTATACATGGAGACCATATCCCCCTTATGTATTATACATGGTGATCATATCCCCCTTATGTATTATACATGGAGATCATATCCCCCCTTATGTATTATACATGGAGATCATATCCCCCCTTATGTATTATATATGGTAATCATATCCCCCCTTATGTATTATACATGGTGATCATATCCCCCCTTATGTATTATACATGGAGATCATATCCCCCCCTTATGAATTATACATGGAGATCATATCCCCCCTTATGTATTATACATGGAGATCATATCCCCCCTTATGTATTATACATGGAGATCATATCCCTCTTTATGTATTATACATGGAGATCATATCCCCCCTTATGTATTATACATGGAGATCATATCCCCCCCTTATGTATTATACATGGAGATCATATCTCCCCTTATGTATTATACATGGAGATCATATCCCCCCCTTATGTATTATACATGGAGATCATATCTCCCCTTATGTATTATACATGGAGATCATATCCCCCTTATGTATTATACATGGAGATCATATCCCCCCTTATGTATTATACATGGAGATCATATCCCCCCTTATGTATTATACATGGAGATCATATCCCCCCTTATGTATTATACATGGAGATCATATCCCCCCTTAATCTCCTCTTCTCAGTAGAGAATACATTCAGTTCCTCTAATCTTTCCTCATAGCTGATCTCCTCCATGCCTCAGTTTGGTTGCCCTTCTCTGTACTTTCTCCAGTTCCCCAATGTTCTTTTTGTGAATTGGAGCCCAAAACTGAACTGCATATTCCAGATGAGGTCTTACTAATGATTTGTACCGGGGGGAGGGGGGGGGGGGAGGTGATATCTCTCTCTCTGGAGTCTTTATCTCTCCTAATACAAAAGAGGGTTTTGCTCTCTTTTAGAACCCGCAGCTTGGCATTGCATGCACTTATAAGCTTGTGATCTATTAGAACCCCCAGATCCTTCACCATTGACCCCCCAGATCCTTCACCATTGACCCCCCCCCCAGATCCTTCTCCACAATTGATCCCCCAGATCCTTCTCCACCATTGACCCCCCCAGTTGTACCCCCCTAGTATGTATGATGCATGCATATTCTTGGCCCCCCCAAGTGCAGAACCTTACATTTATCACCATTAGCCCTCATTGGCCCCATAGCCCCCAATTTACACAGAGCATTGAGGTCGGCTTGTAAGTTGGAGACATCCTGTAAGGACGTTATTCCCGGCACAGCTTGGTGTCATCTGCAAAGACTGGAATGGGAGTTATAATCTCACACCCCATATTGTTTATATATATTAATTAAGTAGGGTCCCAACACTGAACCCTGGGGTACCCCACTAATAACACTGAACCTTGGGGTACCCCACTAATAACACTGATCCCTGGGGTACCCCACTAAAAAACACTGAACCTTGGGGTACCCCACTAATAACACTGACCCTTGGGGTACCCAACTAATAACACTGAACCTTGGGGTACCAACTAATAACACTGAACCTTGAGGTACACCACTAATAACACAGAACCTTGGGGTACCCCTAATAACACTGAACCCTGGGGTACCCCACTAATAACACTGATCCCTGGGGTACCCACTAATAACACTGAACCTTGGGGTACACCACTAATAACACTGACCCTTGGGGTACACCACTGATGACACTGACCCTTGGGGTACCCCACTGAAGACACTGAAACCTGGGTTACCCACTAATAACATCGGAACCTTGGTATATCCCACTTGCACCCTACAGCATTCAGAGTATGAATCATTACCCCTACTCTCTGAATACGATCTTTTATCCAGTTTTCTATCCATTTACATTCAGATTTTTCCAGCCCATAGACTTTACCTTACACATTAGCCGTGTGTGGGGAACTGTGTCCAAGTATACCACGTCCACTGCCACCACTCTGTCCAAGTATACCACGTCCACCGCCACCCCTCTGTCCATAGTATACCACGTCCACTGCCACCCCTCTGTCCAAGTATACCACGTCCACCGCCACCCCTCTGTCCAAGTATACCACGTCCACAGCCACCCTCTGTCCAAGTATACCACGTCCACTGCCACCCCTCTGTCCAAGTATACCCACGTCCACCGCCACCCCTCTGTCCAAGTATACCACGTCCACAGCCACCCCTCTGTCCAAGTATACCACGTCCACAGCCACCCCTCTGTCCAAGTATACCATGTCCACCACCACCCCTCTGTCCAAGTATACCGCGTCCTCCGCCACCACTCTGTCCAAGTATACCACGTCCACCGCCACCCCTCTGTCCAAGTATACCACGTCCACAGCCACCCCTCTGTCCAAGTACACCACGTCCACCACCACCCCTCTGTCCAAGTATACCACGTCCACCGCCACCCTCTGTCCAAGTATACCACGTCCACAGCCACCCCTCTGTCCAAGTATACCACGTCCACCGCCACCTCTGTCCAAGTATACCACGTCCACCGCCACCCCTCTTTCCAAGTATACCGCGTCCACAGCCACCCCTCTGTCCAAGTATACCGCGTCCACAGCACCCACCCCTCTGTCCAAGTATACCACGTCCACCGCCACCCCTCTGTCCAAGTATACCGCGTCCACCACCACCCCTCTGTCCAAGTACACCGCGTCCACCACCACCCCTCTGTCCAAGTATACCGCGTCCACCGCCACCCCTCTGTCCAAGTATACCACGTCCACCGCCACCCCTCTGTCCAAGTATACCACGTCCACCGCCACCTTCTGTCAAGTATACCACGTCCACAGCCACCCTCTGTCCAAGTATACCACATCCACAGCCACCCCTCTGTCCAAGTATACCACGTCCACCACCACCCCTCTGTCCAAGTATACCGTGTCCACCACCACCCCTCTGTCCAAGTATACCACGTCCACCGCCACCCCTCTGTCCAAGTATACCTTGTCCACCGCCACCCCTCTTTTCAAGTATACCGTGTCCACCCCCACCCCTTTTTTCAGTATACCACGTCCGCCACCCCTCTGTCCAAGTATACCACGTCCACCGCCACCCTCTGTCCAAGGATTTGCTCACTTCCAATCTCACCTGTTTCATGATGGATTTATTCCCAGCTCACCTCTACATGTTGTCTACAGTAAACATTTAGGCTTCCACTGATTACAGAATACTAATACTGTGAGTCCTGACCCTTATACTATATAACTTGTACATTACATCCTCTGACCCCTGCACTATATACTCTATGTTGTACATTACATACTCCTGACCCCTGCACTATATACTCTATGTTGTACATTACATACTCCTGACTATACTCTGTGTTGTACATTACATACTCCTGACCCCTGCACTATATACTCTATGTTGTACATTACATACTCCTGACCCTGCACTATATACTCTATGTTGTACATTACATACTCCTGACCCCTGCACTATATACTCTATGTTGTACATTACATACTCCTGACCCCTGCACTATATACTCTATGTTGTACATTACATACTCCTGACCCCTGCACTATATACTCTATGTTGTACATTACATACTCCTGACCCCTGCACTATATACTCTATGTTGTACATTACATACTCCTGACCCCTGCACTATATACTCTATGTTGTACATTCCATACTCCTGACCCCTGCACTATATACTCTATGTTGTACATTACATACTCCTGACCCCTGCACTATATACTCTATGTTGTACATTACATACTCCTGACCCCTGCACTATATACTCTATGTTGTACATTACATACTCCTGACCCCTGCACTTATATACTCTATGTTGTACATTACATACTCCTGACCCCTGCACTATATACTCTATGTTGTACATTACATACTCCTGACCCCTGCACTATATACTCTCTATGTTGTACATTACATACTCCTGACCCCTGCACTATATACTCTATGTTGTACATTACATACTCCTGACCCCTGCACTATATACTCTATGTTGTACATTACATACTCCTGACCCCTGCACTATATACTCTATGTTGTACATTACATACTCCTGACCCCTGCACTATATACTCTATGTTGTACATTACATACTCCTGACCCCTGCACTATATACTCTATGTTGTACATTACATACTCCTGACCCCCCTGCACTATATACTCTATGTTGTACATTACATACTCCTGACCCCTGCACTATATACTCTATGTTGTACTTACATACTCCTGACCCCTGCACTATATACTCTATGTTGTACATTACATACTCCTGACCCCTGCACTATATACTCTATGTTGTACATTACATACTCCTGACCCCTGCACTATATACTCTATGTTGTACATTACATACTCCTGACCCCCTGCACTATATACTCTATGTTGTACATTACATACATACCTGACCCCTGCACTATATACTCTATGTTGTACATTACATACTCCTGACCCCTGCACTATATACTCTATGTTGTACATTACATCCTGACCCCTGCACTATATACTCTATGTTGTACATTACATGCTACTCCTGATACCCTGCACTATATACTCTATTTTGTACATTCCTCCTGACCCCTGCACGTATGATATACTCATGTTGTACATTACATACTCCTGACCCCTGCACTATACTACTCTATGTTGTACATTACATACTCCTGACCCCTGCACTATATACACTGTTGTACATTAATACTAATACCTGACCCCTGCACTATATACTATGAAAATACATTACATTACATACTCCTGACCCCTGCACTATATACTCTATGTTGTACATTACATACTCCTGACCCCTGCACTATATACTCTATGTTGTACATTACATACTCCTGACCCCTGCACTATATACTCTATGTTGTACATTACATACTCCTGACCCCTGCACTATATACTCTATGTTGTACATTACATACTCCTGACCCCTGCACTATATACTCTATGTTGTACATTACATACTCCTGACCCCTGCACTATATACTCTGTTGTACATTACATACTCCTGACCCCTGCACTATATACTCTATGTTGTACATTACATACTCCTGACCCCTGCACACTATATACTCTATGTTGTACATTACATCCTCCTGACCCCTGCACTATATACTCTATGTTGTACATTACATACTCCTGACCCCTGCACTATATACTCTATATGTTGTACATTACATATCCTGACCCCTGCACTATATACTCTATGTTGTACATTACATACTCCTGACCCCTGCACTATATACTCTGTTGTACATTACATACTCCTGACCCCTGCACTATATACTCTATGTTGTACATTACATACTCCTGACCCCTGCACTATATACTCTATGTTGTACATTACATATCCTCCTGACCCCTGCACTATATACTCTTGTTGTACATTACATCCTCCTGACCCCTGCACTATATTCTCTGTTGTGAACATTACATACTCCTGACCCCTGCATATATATACTTTATGTTGTACATACATACTCCTGACTGACCCTGCACTATATACTCTATGTTGTACATTACATATCTCCTGACCCCCTGCACTATATACTCTAATGTTGTACATACATACTCCTGACCCCTGCACTATATACTCTATGTTGTACATTCATACTCCAGACCCCTGCACTATATACTCTATGTTGTACATGACATACTCCTGACCCCTGCACTATATACAGTGTGTTCGACATTGCATCAGTCCTGAACTGCTAAAAAATTTTTTTTTTGTGCATAAAGAAGCCAGGAAAGATGCAAAAATCTCCAAAAGCATCAAATTTCAGATTGACATCTGAGAGATATGTCAACAAAACTTAGACATCATTTTATTTCCATCATTTACACATTCAAAAATCAAAGAAAACAAAAAATGGCGTCTGTAAAAAGTTTGCCCCCCTGCAGAATTTATAGCATGCACATGCCCGCTTTGCCAAGCTGAGACCTGCCAGTGTCATGGATTGTTCTCAATCATCGTCTGGGAAGACCAGGTGATGTCAATCTCTGGTTTTAATGGACTCATTGACCTTGCCCCAACAATCAGCACCATGGGTTCTTCTAAGCAGTTGTCTAGAAAACTGAAACTGAAAATAGTTGATGCGCTCACAAAGCTGACAAGGCTATAAGAAGATAGCAAAGATGTTTTCAGATGTCAATATCCTCTGTTCGGAATGTAATTTAAGAAATGGCATCATCATCAGGAACAGTGGAAGTTAAAGCAAGATCTGGAAGACCAAGAAAACACATCAGACAGAAAGCTCGCAGGATTGTGAAGTCATTGAAGAACAGGCCATCAAATCCCACTTTGCGTTGGACTGCACGATGTCCCTCCAGAAGATGGCAGACACTGAATGTTGTGAGTGGTACACTATTAGTATCTGACTATAAAGAGATACTTGTACAAATATGGTCTTCATGGAAGAGTCATGTCCCCAAACCACTGTCTACGTCCTCACCACAAAGGATCATCGTTTGAGAGGCCAAATGACCCAGTATATAGACAAAAATTATTAAGGTAAAAAATATACTCACAAACCAGCGAATAAAATCAGGCATGTAAGTCCTCACAGGGACTTGAAGATAAACATGAGTCCCATCAGGGGAGTGGGTTGTTCAGTACAGCTGACGCGTTTCGAAGGGTCCCCCCTTCTTCCTCAGAAGCTAACTGAACTGTGAGTGCTCTCTCCTATATATACTCCAGGACTGAATGGAGGAAGAACTGGGTTGGGCAGTCTGTTACTGAGCTTACCAAGATTCTGACATGTCAACAACAATCACTATTTGTAATGCCATCAGAGAGAAATGATATAACAAACATAAAATATAAGATATAAAATATATAAAAAAATAATAAAAAACACATTTTGCATACACCACTTAGTTGTACATACACAGACTTGACACATATAATATATCAACTAGGCGATGACACCATTGGAAATGATGATAATAGATCTACATGATGAAACATAATATATTGTAAAATAGTTAGTCTTATTCCAGATCATATAGTGAGCGATGTATCACTAAATGGGCAATTCATCCAGAGGACTATATACTCTGGATGAGTACATACAATTCCTGACCAATAGACATAAATTGTTAGTCAATGGATGTCTTAATGGTTAAGTACTCCATAGTGAACCTGCACATGTATACTATATGTTGACATATAAACCCACACACAACCCTTCACCAGATCTGTATGTTGTGTCTACCAGGCAGCTGCATGTGCTTCGTATACTCGGATGAAAGAGGATTGGATCAGTACTCTTGGACCCGTGTACTGTATATCAGCAGTTGTTGTAGATCTTATGCTCCTCCCTGCACTATATACTGCATGTTGTACCATTACATACTCCTGAACGCAGTTGTACTGTATGATATACTGATGTTGTACTGCGCATGCGTGGACCAACATGCGCTTATACGCAGTTGTACAGGAGGGACAGGTCCGTCTATGCGCATCACGTTTTGACGCGCATCACGCGCATCCCGGCCTCTCTGTGCGCGTACACTAACACCGCTCTATTTGTAAGATACCATGTCCTGACCTCTCCACCCCCCCCCCACTCTACGAGGCTCAGTTGGGGAAATGTCATGGGGATTTCCCCCTGACTATAACTTGCTGTTGAGTGCACATTAGCCAATCAAATGGGGTCCTCAGACACTGCCCTGGCTGTGCACTCCAGAGGTGTACTCTAAGTGTTGACATTACATAATTTCCTGAACCTGCATATATACATATGTTATACAATACATACACATGCGTGTAAACTATATACTCTATGTTGTACATATACATACTCCTGACCCCTGCACTAAATATAGGCATATGTTGTACATGAACGCCTTCATGCATCTGCACTAACACTCTGTGTTGTACATGACATAATCCTGAAGCACTAAATAATAATAATAATATAATCTATGATATATTAAAATCCATACTCCTACCCTACACTCTATATACACTATGTTGTACATTACATACTCCTGACCCTGCACTATATACTCTATGTTAACATTACATACTCCTGTACCCCTGCATATATACTCATTGTAAAATGACCCCTGACCCCTGCACTATATACTCTAATGTTTGGTACATCCACATACTCCTGACCCTGCACTATATACTCTATGTTGTACATTACATACTCCTGACCCCTGGTTTATATTCTCTATGTTGTACATTACATACTCGGACCCTGCACTATATACTCATGTTGTAACATTACATACTCCTGACCCCTGCAACTATATACTCTATGTTGTACATTACATACTCCTGACCCCCTGAACTATATACTCTATGTTGTACATTAGGGACTCCTGACCCCTGCACTTACTACTCTATGTTGTACATTACATACTCCTGACCCCTGCACTATATAGTCCTATGTTGTACATTACACCTCCTGACCCTGATGACCCCATTATATATACTCTATGCTGTAACAGGTTACACTCCTGACCCCTGCACTATATACTCCTGTTGTACATTACATACTCCTGACCCCTGCACTATATACTCATGTTGTACATTACATAATCCTGACCCCTGCACTATATACTCTATGTTGTACATTACATACTCCTGACCCCTGCACTATATACTCCATGTTGTACATTACATACTCCTGACCCCTGCACTATATACTCTATGTTGTACATTACATACTCCTGACCCCTGCACTATATACTCTATGTTGTACATTACATACTCCTGACTTCTGCTCTCCCCCCTCCCCCCACTGCTATATATACACATAATATGGATTCTCTTTTGTTACCCCATTTCCTCCCAGCTGGACATTTTATATCGGATGATGTGATTGGAGCACAGACTTTTACATGGTGATAATAATGTGATAACATCCTCCAACTTTGGACCCTTAAACAGAAAGTGATAATGAGGGAGGAGTCAATCCCAATGATGGTGGTCTTCAGGATCAGTCCAGTCTTCATCTTGGTTGTTCTCCCCCCATCCTCACTCTCTGACCTCTGGTGGGGCTCAGCCCCGCTGTTCTTCATGACTAAATCATGGAGTAAATAAGGAAGTGCAGTACTTCTTGTGTTGGGAAGATGGCGATGAGTGATAGAGGGGGTGGGGACCCTCGTCCTATAATCCCCTCATCACTGTCCCTCCTATAAAAGACAGTTCTGGTTGTTTCCTCACTCTCTGACTAAGGTCCATGAATAAAGAAATGACCTGGTAGGAGATCAGAGGAGCCATTTCCTAGTTCCCTTGAGGGTGGAATTGTAAGCTCCTCAGAGACCAAGCTGCCTGATGTGGGCGGAGTCCTGGTTTGGGGGAACCAATCAGCTCCTGTCTAGTAATCCTCTTTGTCTTTGTATTTTAGTCCATGGCCGGGAGATGAGGAAAACCTCCGAGGATTGTCTCACTTTGTCTCCAGACTGGAAAGTAGAAGATGAGGACATCACACAGTATAGTCCAGGAGAAAACCCGGCTCCCTCCAATGTCCATCCGGCACCACCCAGTGTAGATGGACCATCGGATTCCTCGTATCCTGAGGAACCTCAGACTGTGCGGGACCGGGCCGGCCTTCCAACAGGGAAGAGCTTCTCCTGTACTGAGTGTGGGAAAAGGTTTCCATTATAAATCACATCTTAATGTGCATAAAAGATCTCACAGGGGAGAGAAGCCCGTATTCCTGTCCTGAGTGCGGGAAATGTTTTTTTAGAAGTCCAATCTTCACACACACACATCAAGATCTCACACGGGGAGAGAAGCCGTATTCCTGTCCTGAGTGTGGGAAATGTTTTTCAGGTAAGTCCAGTCTTTACAGACATCAGAGATCTCACGGGGGAGAAGCCGTTTCCTGTCCTGAGTGTGGGAAATGTTTTTCAGGAAGTCCAATCTTCACACACACATCAGAGATCTCACACGGGGGAGAAGCCGTATTCCTGTCCTGAGTGTGGGAAATGTTTTTCAATAAGTCCAAATCTTCACACACATCAGAGATCTCACACGGGGGGAGAAGCCATATTCCTGTCCTGAGTGTGGGAAATGTTTTTCAGAGAAGTCCAGTCTTTCACAAACATCAGAGATCTCACACAGGGGAGAAGCCACATTCCTGTCCTGAGTGTGGGAAATTTTTTTCAGTGAAGTCCAATCTTTCATACACATCAGAGATCTCACACAGGGGAGAAGCCACATTCCTGTCCTGAGTGTGGGAAATGTTTTTCACAGAAGTCCAATCTTTACACACATCAGAGATCTCACACGGGGGAGAAGCCGTATTCCTGTCCTGAGTGTGGGAAATGTTTTTCAGGAAAAGTCCCATCTTTCCAGACATCAGAGATCTCACACGGGGTGTATTAGTGCTTTGAGTGTGGGAAATGTCTTCTAGATGAATGTTGCTGGACATCCCAGCTCTGATGTGGGGATAAAGTGCTATGTAAATGAACAAACCTGAAAATTGTGAAAAAAAATTTTCTTGTAAAATTTTGCAAATAAATAATATTTTGTCATGAATCTTGGCCAAAATGTTTTTCCGTTATCTTTTTAGTAAAAAAAAAAAATAACCCAAATTCATTTATAACCAAAAATTATAATTTTTAAAAAACATGGTACAAGGCTGTTGTGAATGGCCCTGTACCATGTGATCATTCACAGATTTCACATGTAGTAGGCAATGATGTCACAAGTGCATCAGACAGTGATGCAACCCAAGGGGGGAGGAGCCGCAGCATGCCGCCGTTTAGCAGCATGGCTGGGAGGTGATGGACGCCGGCCTTCTAGAGGGAGTTGTGAATGCCCGAATCCTGGAGGGAGCTTACCTGTCCCGGGAGTGAGAAGACGTGAGCCTCGGGTGTCCCCTTTACAGGAGCGGTGGAGGAGTGCGGTGAGGGAGCGGTGGAGGATTGCGGTGAGGGAGCGGGTGGAGGATTGCGGTGCGGGGAGGGGAGCGGTGGAAGAGTGCGGTGAGGGAGCGGTGGAGGGATTGCGGTGCGGGGAGGGAGCGGTGGAAGAGTGCGGTGAGGGAGCGGTGGAGGATTGCGGTGAGGGAGCGGTGGAGGATTGCGGTGCGGGGAGGGAGCGGGGTGTCGGTGCGAGGTGGGAGCGGTGGAGGATTGCGGTGAGGGAGCGGTGTCGGTGCGAGGTGGGAGCAGAGTGAGAGTTCGCTCCCATGTGAGTCTGGAGCTGGCTGGGTGTGAGAGGGGAAGTGGTGGAAGGAGAGAGCTGAAGTGAGGACCTGGAGAGGCATGGAAGGACCTGGAGCTGTCTCAGACACTGCCTGAGAACCGAGGACGGGCGGTCACAGGTCAGAAGGGGAAGGAAGCAGCAGTAGTGGGACTGGAGCCTAAGGGATCTATGGTGAGTCCCCAGATACAGCACTTCCCTCACCTGGTATAGATATAAAACGGCTGGTGCAGAGGTCCTGGTTAGTTGTTACTAAGGACTGTCACAGATATTTCTCAGCACACTGGATACATCTATGACAAGTGTGTTCTTCATGGACTATTTGTGGCTGGTGGAAGCCCAACAAATGATTTCTAATGAATCCCACTCTGGTCTGGGTTGTCAGATGTGGGAAATAGGCTGGAGAAGGTCTTACAGATGTGATGGCCAGCCAGTGGGAAATGTTCATAGCAGGAATCTGTAGGTGCTGAGAGGCTCTGGGTGAGTACAGCGGTGTCAGAAAAGTAGAAATCTCTGGGGTATGCCTGGGTGAAAAGTATTATTGTATGATCGAAAGCAAGGCTATAACATGGTATGACGGGGACCTATGCGGCAGACTAAATACTAAATATTACACGGAGTTCCATAGCAAGAAGAATATAGCAGACGCATATTAAATAGCGGTCCTGCACCAAGCTATAAAACTGCAGACTGACACCAAATCTTATACAGCAGACCCGCACCAAGCTCTATACAGCTGAGTGACACCAAAACTTATACAGCAGACCTTCACCAAGCTCTATACAGCTCACTGACACCAAATCTTATACAGCAGACCTGCCTCAAGTTCTACATAGTGGAATTATGTCAAATACTATACGGTAGACCCGTACCACGTTCTGTACAGCTGATTCTCATTTAACCACTAGATAGCAGGACCCTCGCCAAGCTCTATTCAGCTGAGTGACACCAAATCTTATACAGCAGACCCGCACCAAGCTCTATACAGCAGATGACACCAAATCTTATACAGCAGACCAGCACCAAGCGCTATACAGCTGAGTGACACCAAATCTTATACAGCAGACCCGCACCAAGCTCTATACAGCTGACTGACACCAAATCTTTTACAGCAGACCCCTCGCCAAGCTCTATACAGCTGACTGACACCAAATCTTAGACAGCAGACCCGCGCCAAGCTCTATACAGCAGATGGACACCAAATCTTATACAGCAGACCCGCACCAAGCTCTATACAGCTGACTGACACCAAATCTTATACAGCAGACCCGCGCCAAGCTCTATACAGCAGATGGACACCAAATCTTATACAGCAGACCCGCGCCAAGCTCTATACAGCTGAGTGACACCAAATCTTATACAGCAGACCCAGCGCCAGGCTCTTATACAGCTGATGGACACAAATCTTATACAGCAGACCCGAACCAAGCTCTATACAGCTGACTGACACCAAATCTTATAGAGCAGACCCGCGCCAAGCTCTATACAGCTGACTGACACCAAAACATTATACGCAGACCCGCACCAAGCTCTATACAGCTGACTGACACCAAATCTTATACAGCAGACCCGCACCAAGCTCTATACAGCTGACTGACACCAAATCTTATACAGCAGACCCGCGCCAAGCTCTATACAGCTGACTGACACCAAATCTTATACAGCAGACCCGCGCCAAGCTCTTTACAGCTGACACCAAATCTTATACAGCAGACCAGCACCAAGCTCTATACAGCTGAGTGACACCAAATCTTATACAGCAGACCCGCACCCAAGCTCTCTATACAGCTGAAGTGACACCAAATCTTATATACAGCAGACCCGCACCAAGCTCTATACAGCTGACTGACACCAAATCTTATACAGCAGACCCGCACCAAGCTCTATACAGCTGACTGACAGCCAAATCTTATACAGCAGACCTGCACCAAGCTCTATACAGCTGAGTGACACCAAATCTTATACAGCAGACCCGCGCCAAGCTCTATACAGCTGAGTGACACCAAATCTTATACAGCAGACCCGCACCAAGCTCTATACAGCTGACTGACACCAAATCTTTATACAGCAGACCTCGCCAAGCTCTATACAGCTGACTGACACCAAATCTTAGACAGCAGACCCGCACCAAGCTCTATACAGCTGATGGACACCAAATCTTATACAGCAGACCCGCACCAAGCTCTATACAGCTGACTGACACCAAATCTTAGACAGCAGACCCGCGCCAAGCTCTATACAGCTGATGACACCAAATCTTATACAGCAGACCCGCGCCAAGCTCTATACAGCTGAGTGACACCAAATCTTATACAGCAGACCAGCACCAAGCGCTATACAGCTGAGTGACACCAAATCTTATACAGCAGACCCGCGCCAAGCTCTATACAGCTGAGTGACACCAAATCTTATACAGCAGACCCGCGCCAAGCTCTATACAGCTGACTGACACCAAATCTTATACAGCAGACCCGCGCCAAGCTCTATACAGCTGACTGACACCAAATCTTATACAGCAGACCCGCACCAAGCTCTATACAGCTGACACCAAATCTTATACAGCAGACCCGCGCCAAGCTCTATACAGCTGACTGGACACCAAATCTTATACAGCAGACCCGCGCCAAGCTCTATACAGCTGAGTGACACCAAATCTTATACAGCAGACCCGCGCCAAGCTCTATACAGCAGATGGACACCAAATCTTATACAGCAGACCCGCGAACCAAGCTCTATACAGCTGACTGACACCAAATCTTATACAGCAGACCCGCGCCAAGCTCTATACAGCTGACTGACACCAAATCTTATACAGCAGACCCGCGCCAAGCTCTATACAGCTGACTGACACCAAATCTTATACTGCAGACCCCGCGCCAAGCTCTATACAGCTGAGTGACACCAAATCTTATACAGCAGACCCCGCGCCAAGCTCTATACAGCTGACTGTGACACCAAATCTTATACAGCAGACCCGCGCCAAGCTCTATACAGCTGACTGACACCAAATCTTATACAGCAGACCCGCGCCAAGCTCTATACAGCTGAGTGACACCAAATCTTATACAGCAGACCGCACCAAGCTCTATACAGCTGACTGACACCAAATCTTATACAGCAGACCCGCGCCAAGCTCTATACAGCTGACTGACACCAAATCTTATACAGCAGACCCCCGCGCCAAGCTCTATACAGCTGACTGACACCAAATCTTATACAGCAGACCCGCGCCAAGCTCTATACAGCTGACACAAATCTTATACAGCAGACCCGCGCCAAGCTCTATATAGCTGACACCAAATCTTATACAGCAGACCCGCACCAAGCTCTATACAGCTGAGTGACACCAAATCTTATACAGCAGACCCGCACCAAGCTCTATACAGCTAAGTGACACCAAATCTTATACAGCAGACCCGCACCAAGCTCTATACAGCTCTTGAACAGCTGACTGACACCAAATCTTATACAGCAGACCCGCGCCAAGCTCTATACAGCTGACTGACAGCAAATCTTATACAGCAGACCTGCACCAAGCTCTATACAGCTGAGTGACACCAAATCTTAGACAGCAGACCCGCACCAAGCTCTATACAGCTGACTGACAGCAAATCTTATACAGCAGACCTGCACCAAGCTCTATACAGCTGAGTGACACCAAAATCTTATACAGCAGACCCGCGCCAGGCTCTATACAGCAGATGGACACCAAATCTTATACAGCAGACCCGCGCCAAGCTCCATACAGCTGAGTGACACCAAATCTTATACAGCAGACCCCGAACCAAGCTCTATACAGCTGACTGACACCAAAACATTATACAGCAGACCCGCGCCAAGCTCTATACAGCTGACTGACACCAAACCTTATACTGCAGACCCGCGCCAAGCTCTATACAGCTGAGTGACACCAAATCTTATACAGCAGACCCGCACCAAGCAAGCTCCATACAGCTGACTGACACCAAATCTTATACAGCAGACCCGCACCAAGCTCTATATAGCTGACACCAAATCTTATAGCCAGCAGACCAGCACCAAGCTCTATATAGCTGACACCAAATCTTATACAGCAGACCAGCACCAAGCTCTATACAGCTGAGTGACACCAAATCTTATACAGCAGACCCGCGCCAAGCTCTATACAGCTGACTGACACCAAATCTTATACAGCAGACCCGCGCCAAGCTCTATACAGCTGACTGACACCAAATCTTATACAGCCAGACCAGCACCAAGTTATATAGCGGGCTCTTGTCAAGCACTATACAGCAGACCTGGACTAAGTTCCAAACAGTAGACTAATATCTGATCCTAAATAAGCGACTGCACTAAGTTCTATACAGTGGACTTCTGTTAAGTATTATACAGCCAACCCGCAGAAGTTTCAAACTGTAGACTCATACCAACTTTTATACAGCAGATCTGCACCAAGTCCTATACTGCTGATGTAAGACAAGTAATATACAGTAGACCCGTATCAGCCGTATATAGCAGACTTATAGAAGACCAAAGTTAGTCTCATATAGTAGACCTACGCCAGATCCATACAGTAGGCCTACCCTAGTCCTATATAGCAAATAAGTTATTAAACAGGAATCCTCTAAGGAAAATGAGAAGTAAACCAAATAAAGGGGGTGGCCCTAAAACACCCCAGGCAAGTGCAAACGCCCTTACGATAAAAAAATACATGCCGGCACAAGGGAAAAAAGACCCAGAATCGCAAAATCAAGAGAACCAGGGGCGAGTGCTCTATTAACCTTGGGGATAGGTGAACAATCAAGATTGTCACTAGGGAATATGGAGGATGTCCAAGAAAAAGGAAGCCCAATCTCTGAGAGTAGAGGGGTACAAAGAAAGGTGGAACAAGAAGGGCCACCAGTACATACTCTTTTAAAAAAAAGGATTTGATAGAAATGTTCACAAAATTGGAGACGGTTGTTAAGACGGAGATCGGGAACCTCCGTTGCAATTTGGGTCATGTCCTGTCTCGCTTGGAGGAATCAGAGAAAAAAGTAGAGGAACATACGATACAAATCAAGAAATTAGAAACGCAAATAGAAGAGAGGCGATTAGAAATGAGAGAATTATTATTTAAAATGGAAGATCAGGAGAAATCGCAGCAGAAGGACTAATTTGAGGTTTAGAGGTATTCCGGAAGAAAAAGGACAAGAGGAAGACTTACTGGGGAAAATGAAAAGAATTTGCAATCCAATTATGGGAAGACCAGAGACAGACTGGATAAAAATGGATAGAGTATATAGGATCAGAAGGCCAAAGGGTATATCAGCAGAAAGACCCAGGGATGTGATTTCAGGACATTGGAGACCAGGACCAGATATGGAAAGGGCTGCATGACTTTCCTGAAATAAAATTTGAAGATTCAGTCATACAAATCTTTGCTGATATTTCCTCAGAGACATTGGCGAGAAGGAGAGCCCTTAAACCACTTCTAATT